TGAAAAGTGGAGGTGCAACAGGTAGTCTGAGAGAGAACTCTATCAACATCAGAGGCCCGAGACTGTTCAACACGCTTCCGCTACACATAAGGGGCATAACTGGCAATCCCCTCACAGTGTTCAAGAGAGAACTGGATAAACACCTCCAAAGGATACCTGATCAACCAGGCTGTGACTCATACGTCAGGCTGCGAGCAGCCACGTCCAACAGCCTGGTTGATCAGTCCAGCAACCAGGAGGCCTGGTCGACGACCGGGCCGCGGGGACGCTAAGCCCCGGAAGCACCTCAAGGTAGCATGTGAGAAAACATGAAGATGTTTCTTCTTCATGTGATGAAGAGAAAATATGAAGGCATTTGGAAAATATATATGAGAAAAACGAATGGACCAAGTATGCTACCTCAGCAGAATGCCAATGTTAATTGAGAAAGTGGGAGAAGTAGCAGCGTTCACTGAAATATACTGCTGACAGAGATAAGATTGCAAGTACTGAAGGGAGTGACCTCTAACTCCATAGTGTTGGAGTTTCAGAAGAAGGTTATTGTGGTTAACAGTGTCAAAACCCTTGCGTAAGTCAACAAACAAACCTATGGGGAGCTCATTTTTGTTAAGTACTGCATGTAATAATTTAAGCATATTGTATTTATAAGAGCAGTGTTGGTGCTTTTATGGGTCTGAAGCCACACTGTATTATCACACGAGGATAATCTCAATAAATTCCTCTCCCAATGTGATCTATCTGAACACACTGACCCTATTATTACCTCAATTTAATTATCCCATTGTTACAAATAATGTAAGTTAACAATAGGAGTTAGCTAAGTTCTATAACATATTGTTACTGCAAGTGGACAGTGACCTTGCATTTTAAGATAATTGTCAAGTTAATAATATTATTAAAAATATTAATAATAATTTATTCACAAGCAAGTACAATGGGTTGATGAGATTACAGAAGACTGGTATTTTTACATTCTTTTAAGGTCCATAACACACACAGCGTTTCCCGCAAGTTCTATAACATTTTCTGATCAGGGGAAGGAAGACACCAACACATGGGGGCGTAAATTTATTAGACATGATAAATAATTCTGCAGAAGTAAAACAGGCTTCTAAATAGGACTTAACAAATGTATAACATAGCGGTGGCTAACTCAAAGTACACGAAACATCTTAAATTGTACACCCGTAGTAAAATAACGTAATCTTATAGCCTAGTAACAAACTCTGCAGAAACCTAATGTCCTAATGTCTAGAATTAGCAGTGAGGCGAATGTAACAAATCTAATTCTAAGTATAACAGGACACCAAAGTGAGCAACATAACATAAGGGAAACCCTAGCTGGAGAATAATCAGGCGGCAGAAAAACAGTGACTGGGGAAGCCTGATATGTATTTGGAGAAGAAAATAACCCCAGGCCAGAGGCCGAGCCGCCAAGGAGGAAGGAATTACCTGACAAGGTAGGGCTTACTAGTAGAATGGCTGTAAAGTCAAAGTAGAAGCTGCAGACAGCGGAACACTTGGGGACGGGCGCTGCACCCCCACCCCGCAGGCCGGACCCCCCCTCCCCCCGAAGGGCGAGTGCCCGCTGGACGCGAGGGAAACCTCAGGGTGGCCAAGCAACTACAGCTACCGAACTGGGAAGGAAACGTCACTCTCCCACCTGCCTACCGCGATAGTACTGTTCTGCAAGCCCTTCTAGAGGCGGCTGAGGGCCCCGCCTAGTCCAGAAAGAGAGGGGCGTAACCAGTTGGAGCCCAGCCTAGCTCCTCGAAGCCGTAACTTGCGGGTGGCGACGTGGGCGCTGCTCCTGTGTGGGTTCGTCGCGAGGCCGTGCTGGAGGGCATGGGTTGTAGGCAGGGTGCCTCCTTCGGCAGCGTGGGCAGTAGTGCTTGAATGAACATGAGGAGAAAGTGCAGCCGGGTCCCCTCGAGTGGTAGGCGAAGCAGTAGCCCGGGGGTAGCCCAGCTGCCCGGGCGCTGGAGAGAGAAAGTGCTGCCGGTCGCCCTGCCTCCTGCCTCGTCGGCTGAGCAGCGGCCTGGGCGATGCGTTGCACCGAGCGAAATTCCAAGTCCAGCCTGTAGTCCAACCATGAACAGCCCGACCTCTCCCTGTCCCATCTGAAGGCCTTATCGTACCACATCCAGTCACCTTTGAGGGACGTCTTCATGGTCTTCACGTAACGCGCATAGGTAAACAGCGCCTGAGCCTCCGCTGGGTGCTTCTCGACGTAGATAGTGGCGTAAATGTCAAGGCCATGCGCCCACTGGTTCGGCGTCAGGGGCGGCTGCTTCTTACCAGCCTCCTTTGCGTCAGGGAATGTCGCAGAGTGGGACTCGAAAGAACCTGATTCCCGCTCATAGGCAAGCAATTAAGTGCCCGAGGTCCACATACTTGTTTGCCTAGACCTACTCCCGAAGGGCTTGCGGGACGTGCACGCCCAAGAGTGGGATGCTGGAGCCCGTGGTCGCCTGGAGTTGCCCCAGCCAGGGGCTAGAAAAAGTGGGGGGCGCTCTCTCCTCGGGGGACTCATCGAAGGAGGACGGACTGGAGGAGCTCGCACGTCGCCTCGACGTATGCCCCCTGGCCCTGGCCCGTGGACGACGGTCGGTGAAGGGGGGGAACTATAACTATATGTTATAGAACTTGCAGGAAACTTGCGTTTCCCGCAAGTTCTATAACATATAGTTACTGTGAGTGAACAGTTACTTTGTATGTTGAGATAATTGTCAAGTAAGTTCTGTAACTTCTAGTTACTGAGAGTGGACAGTGACCCTTTATGTTGAAACAATCGTCCAGTTCTTTATAATATAATTAAAAGGTAATAGGTAAGAGCCAAGTACAGGTATTACACCATATTCCATCTATAAATAATATGGGCCAATGATTGCTCCTAAGCAAATAACTACACATCATTCATATCCATCAACACAACACGAACCTAAACTGCCAATCAAAACAATAAAGTATATTGTTTTGGTTTGCCTAGATGACAAATTACAAGCCGTGGTTTGGCCACAGGGTGGCAAAAACTGTAGCTCTTTGACCTGTAATATGCGGCTAGTAAAAAATTCTTGAGAATGTGAATATTCTAGAAGTTTCTACCCGAATCCAGGGCAAGAAATGCATGACTATATAAAAAGTTCCGATACTTGTGGAACAAAGTTTGCATTCACAGTTAAAGGAGGTAAACCTTTGTGTCTTGTTTGCCAAGTGCCATTCAGTCATTACAAAGCCAGGAACTTGAAACGCCAGTATGAACCTAATCACAAAAACTTTTCATATGATTATCCACCTAAATCAGACTTAAGGAAAAATAAGTTAAATGAGTGAAAATCATCAATAAATTGCCAGCAGACACTGTTGACATTATTCAGTAAGGAAGCTGTGGCTCTCAAATGGTTCTCCTGCAGCTCTCAAACATTTGAGGTTTATCATTTGCAGCTCTTACAGTAAGCAAGTTTGGCCACCCCTGCCATAAAGGCTATTCCTATACCTGGTAAAACAGGCCTATAATAATCATACATACCAATTATGCAATGATTAAATTTAGGCTTATATCTACAAATTAAAAATCATTACACTAATTTATAGTTAGAAATACTTATTAATCAAAGATACTGAGAATAATAGAAATACAGACAACTGATATAAATACTAGCAGTAATTAAGCCTAGGCTTAATTAATATTCAATAGGCTTAATAATAGGCTTAATAATATTCAATGACATACTCCAAAAAATATTATAAATTATGGTCATGGTAATATACTATAAATGAAAAATGCCACTTTATAAAATGGGTTTATACAAGTGGCAGAGTCAGGCTAATATTATTGTCAGATAAGATAATATAATTGCCAGTATTCTAATATAATTGTGTCAGGGTAATATTATTGTCATTCAGGATAATATATTTACCAGCACGCTAATGTAACTGCCAGTGTCAGGCTAATATAATTGCCAGTCAGACTCATTTAATTGAGTCAGGATAATATATAATTGCCAGTCAATTTAATGCAATTATCAGTCAAGATATATGTAATATAATTGCAAATCAGCATAATATTATTGAAGGTTAAGATAATATAATTGTCAGTCAGGCTATTATAATTGTTATATTCAGGCTAAAATAATTGCCGGAGTCATGCTCACATAATTCACAGTCAGGATAGTATAATTGATAGACAAGCTAATGCAATCATCAGTCTGGATACATATAATATACCTAGTAATTGCAAGTCTGATTAATAAAATTGCCAGGCAAGATAATATAATTGCCAGAGTCAGGATAATATAATTGCCAGAGTCAGGATAATATAATTACCAGTCAGATAATATAACTGCTAAACATAAATATCTCAGTCTGACAAATATTGTTTAACAGCTGAGTAATATATATTACTATACATCGTTGGGCAAGAGTAATATATATTTCCAACTCAGAAAATTATAAATGCCAGTCAGGCTAATATGACTACTGAACTAAGGTTAGTCTTTTATCAGAATCTATCTTAATGCACACAATAATGCAACAGTTAGATCACTGTAACTACTGTAGATAAACCAGACTACTAAAAAATCTGATGCAAATATAAATGAAGAGATTTAGCTGAAAATAAATTCCAGTCTAATATATATTTGTTAATGATTTATATCTCAGTCATTAAGCAAAATAACAAAAATTATTTTAATATTTCATAAAAATAGTACAAAAGTATATATATAAAACTACAGTTAACAGTTAACAATCAACTAGAGTGCTTTTGGCTTGCTTCCAAACCTTCAACTGTGCTGGCAGTGATGGCACTGCCAATGCCAGCACTGTGGCTGTGGAATATTGCCACGTTTCTTCTGTGGCAGAGAAGAAAATTTAACGGAAGCTATGAGGTACACAGATATCAAAGAAGACAATTGGTACCAGTTGTACATACACGATCATGACAACAGAAAGGAAAATAGGGCAGGGGTTGGAGAGTGAGAAATAAGTTAACGTGAAGGAGCAACACCACGTTTTTGAATACAGTATATGGAATTGGGTAAGCTAAAACAGCATAAAAATATATAATAAAATAATGGTTGAAGCTATGGAGAGTGCAAGATATTTTCCTGATAAAGTTTACAATTTCCAACAATTTTAAAATTGGAAAAATGGAATTATAAGTTAATGAACTAATATGTGCTTTGTTATACATTATACTTAAAGCATTTTCTGATTTATCTCTCACACTCAAAATGTTTAACCTATCACCCAAATGCACCGTCTTGTGAGTTTTCATACTACAAAGATGACCGAAACGCTTCCAAAACTCTGGACACTTTATGAAGGTTTATCATTCAAATGCACTAACACGTGTGCTTTTATACCATTACGTGACTTAAATAATCTGCCACATTTATCACACTCGAAAGGCCTTTCTTCTGTATGTACTAACATGTGACGTATTATAGAGCCACGATATCTAAACCTTTTGCCACACTCATCACACTCAAAAGGCCTTTCTTCTGTATGTACTAACATGTGACGTATTATAGAGCCCCGATCTCTAAACCTTCTGCCACACTCATCACACTCATAAGGTCTTTCATCAATGTGCATCATCAAGTGAGTCTTCATACTTCCAAGGAGTCTGAACCTCTTCCCACACTCTGGACACTTATGAGGTTTTTCACCCGAATGCATTAACATGTGAGTCTTCATATGTTCAACCCGACTAAACCTCTTCCCACACTCTGGACATTTATGAGGTTTTTCACCCGAATGCACTAACATGTGAGTCTTCATATTTCCAACCTGACTGAACCTCTTCCCACACTCTGGACATTTATGAGGTTTTTCACCCGAATGCACTAACATGTGAGTCTTCATACTTCCAACCTGACTGAACCTCTTCCCACACTCTGGACATTTATGAGGTTTTTCACCCGAATGCACTAACATGTGAGTCTTCATACTTCCAACCTGAATGAACCTCTTCCCACACTCTGGACACTTATGAGGTTTTTCACCCGAATGCACTAACATGTGAGTCTTCATACTTCCAAGGTGTCTCAACCTCATCCCACACTCTGGACACTTATGAGGTTTTTCACCCGAATGCACTAACATGTGAGTCTTCATACTTCCAAGCTGAGTGAACCTCTTCCCACACTCTGGACACTTATGAGGTTTTTCACCCGAATGCACTAACATGTGAGTCTTCATACTTCCAAGCTCGCTGAACCTCTTCCCACACTCTGGACACTTATGAGGTTTTTCACCCGAATGCTTTAACATGTGAGTCTTCATACTTCCAAGGTGTCTCAACCTCATCCCACACTCTGGACACTTATGAGGTTTTTCACCTGAATGCACTAACATGTGAGTCTTCATACTTCCAAGCTGAGTGAACCTCTTCCCACACTCTGGACACTTATGAGGTTTTTCACCCGAATGCACTACCATGTGTCTCTTCATCTCTCCAACCCGACTAAACCTCTTCCCACACTCTGGACACTTATGAGGTTTTTCACCCGAATGCACTAACATGTGAGTCTTCATACTTCCAACCTGACTGAACCTCTTCCCACACTCTGGACACTTATGAGGTTTTTCACCCGAATGCACTAACATGTGAGTCTTCATACTTCCAACCTGACTGAACCTCTTCCCACACTCTGGACACTTATGAGGTTTTTCACCCGAATGCGCTAACATGTGAGTCTTCATACTTCCAAGGTGTCTCAACCTCATCCCACACTCTGGACACTTATGAGGTTTTTCACCCGAATGCACTAACATGTGAGTCTTCATACTTCCAAGCTGAGTGAACCTCTTCCCACACTCTGGACACTTATGAGGTTTTTCACCCGAATGCACTAACATGTGTTTCTTCATATTTCCAACCCAACTAAACCTCTTCCCACACTCTGGACATTTATGAGGTTTTTCACCCGAATGCACTAACATGTGAGCCTTCATATTTCCAATCTGACTGAACCTCTTCCCACACTCTGGACACTTATGAGGTTTTTCACCCGAATGCACTAACATGTGAGTCTTCATACTTCCAAGGTGTCTCAACCTCATCCCACACTCTGGACACTTATGAGGTTTTTCACCCGAATGCACTAACATGTGTTTCTTCATATCTCCAACCCGACTAAACCTCTTCCCACACTCTGGACAATTATGAGGTTTTTTCACCCAAATGCACTAACATGTGACGCTTCATACTTCCAAGATGAGTGAATACCTTCCCACACTCTGGACACTGGTGAAACTTCATCTTCTTTATGATAGGTACAGTTTGTGGGAAGGTTTTCTCCTCGGATGACTGCATGAGTGGTGATGCTGGGTAACGCCTCACGGTGGGACGTCAATGGGATACAAGACACTCCGTACATTGACAACATCGCACACTAATATTTTTACCACTTCGGACACCAGCTTTCGACGTTTCGCATATGTGTACGTGTTCCATATTAAAACGACAATATAATGCTATTAACAATTAAAATCTTCTATTTAACAGGCATATAATTATTAAATGAAGTTTAGTGATGTAATAGACATAATTCGGAGTTGGTAAGGACGCCGCCCGCCAGCGTAAACACAACACACCCGAATGCCCATAAACACGATACAACGCACAAAACACAACACTTCTGTCAGTTTTTGGATAAACTCCTTTTATATTTATTATGTGAGAGTTATACATGTATAAAATGATAACTATTATAGGTAAGCGCCTAATATTTAATATTAATCATAGAAACTCAATGAACTCCTAACTCCATACACTCCAAGTAAGTTTAGTCTACAATCATCAGCAGATTTCCTAGAATTGATCAAATCTACCCAGCCCGATGGAATCATCGCTTCCCTGGACGTTGAATCCCTTTTTACCAACGTCCCAGTCGACACAACCATAGGAATGATACTGGACAGAGTATACAGAGACGAGAGCACCCCCAAATTAGACATACCTGAGCCACACTTGAAAAGTCTTCTCGAAGCATTTACAAAGGAAGCCCCTTTCATCAGTCCACAAGGAGACATGTATTTACAAATAGACGGAGTAGCAATGGGCTCCCCCTTAGGAGTTTTATTTGCTAATTTTTATATGGGAACCATCGAAGATAGGGTCTTCAGTAGCAGACAAAAACCAACTGTATACTGCCGTTATGTAGATGACATATTCGTAATAGTAAAAGACTCAGATGAACTAATTGACCTAAAAAGACACCTAGAGAGAGAGTCAGTACTCCGATTTACACATGAAAATAGTGAAAATAACAGTCTGCCATTCTTGGATGTACTAATAACAAAAACAGGAACCTCTTTAAGCACCAACGTATATACCAAGCCCACCAACATAGGATTATGCCTGAACGGTAGAAGTGAGTGCCCCCAAAGATACAAAGCCAGTGTTCTCAATGCTTATATTCGTCGAGCGCTTACCCACTGCTCTGAATGGAGCAACGTGAGTAGAGAGTTTGAAAGAGTAACTCAGGTATTGGTGAACAACGGATATAGCAACGCGGAAATAAACGCTGCTATAAGAAGACACTTGGACCGTTGGTATAATTCAGAACCTAGAACAGAAACCACAACACCCCCAATAAAATTATATTACAAATCAACCATGCACAGTGAACATATAAAAGAGGAAAGAATAATGAAAGAAATAATCCGTAAAGGAGTAAAAAGCACTACTCCTAACCAAAACATAAACCTGATAATATTCTACAAAACCAAGAAGACTTCCGAACTCCTTATCAAAAACAGCCCGAAGCCGACGGAGAACCCTCTACAGCAGTCAAGCGTTGTATACATGTACACTTGCCCCCACGAAGGATGTAACCTTCAATGTAAGTACATAGGTATGACGTCGACCAAGCTGACGAGGCGTTTGACATGCCATCTTCAATCTGGTGCCCCTAGGAATCACATGAGACAAGCCCATGACATTACTCTAACAAGAGAAATGTTGAACAAGAATACTTGCATAATAGACAAAACCCAAGATTCAAGAAGATTACAAATTCTTGAGGCAATTCACATAAGAATAGAGCGACCTACCATGAACACCCAAATCACGGAACTATTTACTCTACCCACCATGAGAGTAAGGACAAGACAAGAACATATCGATGCCAACACAGAAGACAATGTCCAACATAACAGGCCAATTACACTGGATTAATCTTTGTGTTTAGATAGGAGATGCCTCGTATGGGCCAATACGCCTTCTGCAGCCCCTATGTTTATCCCTTATGTATCCCCCCATGTTTTTCACCTTCATTGTATTATCACCTGACCTAATGCGGGTATAAAATCAACTAGTATTGTAAGATCTGTTCACTTGAGAATGAACCATGGAGGTTCGAAACGTCGTGCAAATTATACAAATAAGTGTAATACACTCTATAGTAAATCACTTCTTTTCTTCACCTTAAAAGTACGAAAATGAGTTTTGGAGAACTCCTATTCCAATTAAGCCCTGATGCTAAGAAAATAGTTAGAGGGATAGAAGCCCTAAACCAGAAAATAATAAATACAGAATATGCGGTCATATTCAATGAAATATATATATATATATATATATATATATATATATATATATATATATATATATATATATATATATATATATATATATATATATATATATATATTATTATTATTATATACCAGTATAATCTAATAATATATACTGGTCTAATAAAATAATTAGACCAGTTAATACCCTCACTCGTTGTGTTAGGATATGTTAGCTTGATAAAACTGACTGTTTATTGTTGAGAAATGTGTTAACAAACAATATATCTGACATTATCAAGACTGTAGCTTGCTTAGCAAAAGGAACTTTTTTTAAATTTGGGTTCAGTTTAAATACCGCTCAATGGATGAGTAATTGGGGCATAATAAAGGAACTAAGCTGATAAAATGAAAGATGGGAAAACAACATTAGAGAGATAAACTCGAGAGACGTTTTCATGTTAACCCGAAAATTATTTGAGGAGCAAGACGGACTGCGGGTCAGGCAATTGGTCTTCATGCTATCGTGATGGGGGATCAGCCATTACACGTGTTAATGACTCTTGTATAGTTGTTTAGTTAGGGACTACAGGGTACAGGGGTAGGGTAAAGGGTATGTATGTATGTATGTATGTAATGGTATGTATGTATTGTGGTTGATTGTTCTACCTGGGAATCCTCCACTGTTTTATATCTTATGTATGTATGTATGTATGTACTAACCTAGTTGTGGTTGCGGGGGTTGAACTTTGGCTCTTTGGTCCCGCCTCTCAACCGTCAATCAACTGATGTACAGATTCCTGAGCCTACTGGGCTCTGACATATCTACATTTGAACCTGTGTATGGAGTCAGCCTCCACCACATTACTGCCTAATGCATTCCATTTATTAACTACTCTGACACTGAAAAGTTCTTTCTATAATCTCTCTGGCTCATTTGCGTACTCAGCTTCCACCTGTGTCCCCTTGTGCGTGTACCACATGTGTTAAATAAATGTATGTATGTATGTATGTAAGGAGAGAGAGAGGAGAGAAAGAAATGAAGACCGAGACAGAGAAATAGATATAGACAGAGTCAGGGAGAGAATGTCCCTGACGGATAGATAAGGATATGCAAAGTCAGTGAGAGAATGACAGAGATAGAGCGAGGAAAGAGACAGAGAGATAGGCTGACACAGAGAATGGCAGAAACGAGGAGAGGCAGAGACAGAGGGACAGGGACAGACGGACAGGGCCAGAGGAGGGACGGGGGAACAGAGGGGGGGCAGTGGGACAGAGAGGGAGACAGGGACATAGAAGGGGACAGGGACAGAGACAGAGGGACAGGAACAGAGGGACAGAGACAGAGGGACAGGGTCAGAGAGGGGGGCCTGGGGACAGGGAGGAGAGGGGGCAGGAGACCAAGAGAGAGGGGACAGAGGAGAGACAGGGGACAGAGTGGGCAGGGAGATAGAGGGAGGGACAGGGACAGACAGAGAAAGACATGAACAGGGGGGCAGAAAGGGCGGACAGGGGGACAGAGAGAGGGACAGGGGGCAGAGATAGGGACAGGGGAACAGAGACAGGGACAAGGGGACAGAGATGGATAGGGGGACTGGAGAAAGGGAGGGGGGACAGATGAAGGACAGCGGACAGAAAGAGTGGGCAGGGGGACAGAGAGGTACAGGGGGACAGAGAGATGGACAGGGGGACATAGAGGAACAGGGGGACAGAGAGTGACAGGGGGACAGAGAGTGACAGGGGGACAGAGAGAGGAACAGGAGGACAGAGAGGAACAGGGGGACAGAGAGAGACAGGGGGACAGAGAGAGGGACAATGGGATAGAGAGGGACAGGGGGACAGAGAGATGGAAAGGGGGGACAAGGGGACAGGGGACAGGGGGAAAGGGATCGGGGACAGAGGACAGAAAATGTGGGCAAGGGGACAAAGTGAGGGACAGGGGGACAAAGATGGACAGGGGGACAGAAGAAAAGGGGGGAGATGTATGAGGGGGAATGTTTGCGAGAGATGGAGAAGGGGTATTTAGAACGGTAAGTTAGAGAGGGGACAACTAAGGCGCATCATTGAAAAGC